CCGTCAAGGGTGCTTTATTTCGCCATTTCTGTTCAATTTCGTCATAGACGAAGAAGACTGAAGAACGCACTTACTGGTCCGCAGAACGTAGGTATTGAATGGGCAGGTGGAGAAAAGCTGTGCGATTTAGAGTACGCTGATGACATCGTATGCCTGTTCGAATGTAAGGAGAATGCGCAAAGCGCTCTTGACAGACTTACAATTTCTGTAACTCTTTGGGGCATGCACTTTGCACCTTCGGAGTGCAAAGTGATGCCACGAGACTGGGTGTCGTCTACCCCAGCGCTGATGCTTGATGGTCAAGAATTAACTGTAGTGGGTTGTTTCACTTCCTTGGGTAGCTGCGTTTCAAATGACGGTAGCATAGTCAATGAAGTAACCGCCCACATTTCCTAGGCTCGAGCAGCTTACACAGGACTGAAACACCTATGGTCTAGACGCGATGTTTCGTTGAAACTGAAAGGTCGTGTATACTGCGCCAGTGTGCGGCCAGTTCTGCTCTATGGTTGCGAGACTCTAAATTTGCGCGTGGAAGATATTCGTCGTCTTGAAGTATTCGATTGCAGATGTTTACGTAGTTTGGATTGAATGGAACGAGCTTGTAAGCAACTCTGAGGTGAGGTAATGATTCGATGGAGAATTCGTTGTCCCATCGAATTCAGATTAGTCGGCTTCGCTGGTTAGGACATGTATTGCGCATGCCCAGCCATCGTCTGCCGCACCGCGCCTTATTCGCAGTTACGGATCCAGGTTGGAAGAAACCGCGTGGTGGTCAACAGATAATGTGGAAGCGAGGCATGAAGAAATGCACAGAGCGATTAGGTAGAATCGGTGTCTCCCGTCCTCTATGTTGGGGTCCGAAAGATTCTGCAACTGGTTGGTTGGAGACACTGAAGCATATGACAACTATCCGACAGCAGTAGCGTTCTTGTTGTCATTTCTTCTCAGGCCCGAATGCTTGAAAAGGGATGTACACCTAAACTGTGTACTCTGTTTGTTGAACATAGAGGTTCTTTTTCTTTGCCTCCCTCCAAGTAGGCCCAATCCCTCTCCGTCTTGTGCTTTATCACTTGATTTGTGTACATTGTGAGCTTGGCCGTGATCAGTGAAGCTCGCTTCACTGTATCCCACTGTACGATGATGATGATGATGTACATGTGCGGGTTTTGCGTTCATCCTCGGTAAGCATAGGCTGCTCGATCTTCTGGAGGGACCGCAACTCTCTCTC